CAAGGCGGGGCCAAAATAGGGAATCAAATGAATTTAATTTTTGAAGATTCATGAGGTTATGAACATAACATAATATGAGCATATTTCATGAAGCACGTTAGGGAGATGAGGGAAACGAATCAGACACTTGGCTAGCAAAGATGTGCAAAGTCATGATTAGTGATATTTATATAGAAGCATCCTCAGGTAGTGTAAATTCTAGTTTTTTTCGGTTCATTCTACCTTTTCCCACTTTTTGAAAATCAGGTAGAGAAAGGTAATATTTTTTTTGTGAATAGGTCGAAATTTTGTGTAAACAAATAATCAACTATGAAAACATATAGTTACTGTAAAAACAATGATTAATGAACACCTGCTGGAATAGAGGACAGGTATTGTTTGCTCAAATATTAATTTTCATTCTTAAATCCACTTAGTTGAATGCTTTTTTTTCGATAAATCTATTTATTTTATGTTCCTAAATCAAGATATTAATTATGATTTTTCTTGTAAGACCTTTTTATTATTTTAAAAATCCGAAATAAATCATATTTTCTCATAGATGTATTCATTATTTTCTGTCCTAAAATGTACAAAATACAGGTAAATCTTATAAGACCTGATGTAATTACTACCGGTAGTCTAATTCGTTTAAAAACAAATTAACTATCTAAACATCTATTGCTATTTGCAAGTGGGAATTGGTGGAATTGAGATTTTCAAAAAGTGGGAATAGATAGAAGACACTGTTTTTTTTTCAAATCATAACCCCCAGGGATAGTGTGGGGCCACAATGGGGGATCCAAGTTTTACATTAAAATATATTTTAAAAAATCATCTTCTAAAGAATATATGGAAGCATCCTCAGGTAGTGTAGAATTAAATTTAGTCAAATCATAACCTCCAAGGGCAGGGAAGGGTCTCAATGGTGGATCAAAGTTTTACATAGGAAAATAAAGGGAAAAATCACAATAACAGAAAAGCTGTGTTTAGTAATATTGACCTGTAAGCATCCTCATGTATTGAAGGTTTAAATTTGTTTAAATCATGAGTACCCTTTGGAGTAGGGAGGGAAACAATGGGGAGTCAAATTCAAATTATTACAATTATGTAATATATACAAACAAAATGTTTAAAAAAAATCTTTTTCTCAAGAACTTTCTCAAGAAGTTATATGCAGTATTGATATGGAGGCATTCTCAAGTAGTATTAGAATTCAAGCCCCCTCCCCCACCCTCTCAGTAAACTTTTCAATTCGGATCTGATTTGTGCTTTTTCCTAGTTCAGGTGAGCGGTATGGCCCCTAAGCCTCTTGTTTCTTTTAACAATATCGAAACGTTGACTTGATAATGAAATCATTCCAATTTAAATCAACCTCTTTTTTAACATGATATTGTCGTTCCTTTATTCTGTAAACTGTTCCTTTTTGTGAATGTGTATTTTTTATTGCTGTGTAAGGCGGAGAAAATCAGGTCGCATTTTTACGAATTTGAATTTTAAATCAAACAAGAAGTAAGATTACATGTAAACTGGACGAAAGCTTTATTCTATGAACAAAACCTCTTTTCTCATCAGTTGTATGAGACTCAGTATGTATTATCTTAAATATTCTTTTGTGTATTTATATGTTCCTTCTGTCGATTTCTGCACGGGCTTTTATCAAACATTTACATAGAAAAATCATTTGTCGAATTTGATAAATTCTAGATCAAGGGTCCCATCTCACACACGATTGAGGGACTTCCAAACCAGTGGACCAAGTGGTGAGCTTATTTAGTGTCAAAAGAAAGACCTTCTTGATTTGTATCGCATCCCAAGTTTCGTCAAATAAATCGAACGACTCTGACATATTAAATTGAGGAAAAATATTCTTATTTGCGAGAGGTATTAGAAGGGAATTACAAAATTTATTATCTAATCATTTATTATCATACCATCAAAACTTTACGCGTTATCAGGGCAGAAAACGTCAAAAATGAAATGTGCGTTAAAGTGTGTGATTGCGGGGTAAAGGTATATATGCGTTAAAATGCGTGATTGCGGGGCAACGGTTTATCCGTTAAAATGCGTGATTGCAGGGATGTGGGATAAAATCTTATTCTGTCTCAAACTTAGTTATTGGTTTTTCTTCCTTTCAATTTATAAGACTTTTATTATTGAAATGTAAAAAAAAAAATAATAATGAATCGATTTCTTTTCATTATAAGATACATGTCTTCTACCTGACCCTGTTTCAATCAGTGCAAGCATTCATTAATGTATAATTTGTGTTATTCTGTACTTTTACGTGCCTCAAAAAATCTACATGTTTGAACGCAGTGAAAAATGTTTATTTTTTGCGCCTGCGCAATGCAACGTTGTCAAGGACTTAGTCCTGTGACTAAGCGTATCTTTTACGACTAGACTTACGCCAATTGGTGAAACGCAAATTACACCCGACTAAATTTTGGCGTAAGCCCCGGAAGTACGCCTAAGATAAGGTTTATTTACGACTTTTGATGAAACGGGCCCCTGATGTCCCTATAATATATCTATTTTTAATTAAATCACGAGGTATCTTTAAATAGTTTGACTTCCATACATCTGGCATCAAAATTAACAAGAGGCCCATGGGCCACATCGCTCACCTGAGTAACTTGGGTGATGCAGATTTTTACCAGATTCCCCCTCTTGCTATACCTATCATGCCCAACAACCCCGTTCCCTTTTTTTATTTGAAAACTTTAGAATCTACACTACCCAAGGATGCTTCCACATAAGTTTCAGCTTTCCTGGCCCAGTGGTTCTTGAGAAGAAGATTTTTAAAGATTTGTTCTATATTTTTCTATGTAAAACTTGGAATTCCCTATTGTGGCCCCGCCCTACCCCGGGGGGTCATGATTTAATAATTTGATATCTACACTACCCAAGGATGCTTCCACATAAGTTTCAGCTTCCCTGGCCCAGTGGTTCTTGAGAAGAAGACTTTTAAAGATTTGTTCTATATATTTCTATGCAAAAATTGGATTCCCTATTGTGGCCCCACCCAACCCCCAGGGGGTCATGATTTTAACAATTTAATATCTACATTACCCAAGGATGCTTCCACATAAGTTTCAGCTTCCCTGGCCCAGTGGTTCTTGAGAAGAAGATTTTTAAAGATTTGTTCTATATATTTCTATGTAAAACTTCGATTCCCTATTGTGGTCCCGCCCTACCCCCGGGGGTCATGATTTTAATAATTTAATATCTACACTACCCAAGGATGCTTCCACATAAGTTTCAGCTTCCCTGGCCCAGTGGTTTCCAAGAAGATTTTTAAAGATTTGTTCTATATATTTCTATGCAAAACTTGGATTCCCTATTGTGGCCCCGCCCTACCCCCGGGGGTCATGATTTTAACAATTTAATATCTACACTACCCAAGGATGCTTCCACGTAAATTTCAGCTTCCCTGGCCCAGTGGTTCTTGAGAAGAAGATTTTTAAAGATTTGTTCTATATATTTCTATGCAAAACTTAGATTCCCTATTGTGGCCCCGCCCTACCCCCGGGGGTCATGATTTTAACAATTTAATATCTACACTACCCAAGGATGCTTTCACATAAGTTTCAGCTTTCCTGGCCCAGTGGTTCTTGAGAAGAAGAATTTTTAGTGACACCACCCTATTTTTGTCTTTTCTTGATTATCTCCCCTTGTAAGGGGACTTGGCCCTTCATTTTAACAATTTAAACTCCCCTTCACCCAAGGATGCTTTGTACCAAGTTTGGTTAAAATTGGCCCATTGGTTCTTGAGAAGAAGTCGAAAATGTAAAAAGTTTACAGACGGACGGACAGACGGACGGACGACGGACAAAATGTGATCAGAAAAGCTCACTTGAGCCTTCGGCTCAGGTGAGCTAAAAACACAAAATTTGAATGTTTTTTTCTTCCTTGATCTCCTTCCATTTTGGTCATATTCAACTCATATACGTAGTCCTTCCGATCGGATTGCAGAAAATTGGAGACGATACGATTCATTATTACTTCTACTGAAAAAAAAAATCCATTACTGTAAATTACATGTATATGTACTTGTGTGATCTCTGCGTCTTTCTGCAGTATTGCCAGTCTGATATTATTGTCCCTCTTTCCTTCATTCAAGACTGGTCATCATTTCTTTTTAATAATATTAATGGTAATATAATTGGTGGTATTACCTGGTATACAGAAAAATTGAGAAAAAATTAACTTCAAATCTGTGTTTATGCGCCTTTAATGACTTGTAACAATGAACAAGAGGCAGAAAATCTGTCGAATTGTTATAGCAAAAGTTTAGAGGAAATTTCTGTAATGAATTCAAGATCGGTACCGTTTTGTACAGAGTAATTTTGTACTTTGGAAATTGCTCCTTTAATTAAATTGTGCACTTGACTTCATTGGCTGACATTGCCATACACTAGTAATTGTAAATTATTTTTAATTTTAACAAAAATCTTCTTATTTTTGTTTGTTTCAAATTTTATGTTTCCAGTCTACCTTAAAATGGTTTGAAATGATAAAAATTTAATGCTTAATAATATTTTTTCAAGGCAATTGAAAATTTATTTGCTACATGAGTCTTAAAAAATAACGTGGAAGCGCTAATGTAATTTTGCCTTATTTTTAATCAACACAAAATATGAAGATAAACAGTAATCAAGCTAAAAAAGTCCATTGAAACAAAAAAAAAATCATTGTCAGATCATAACAGACACTAAAAACCTCAGATGTGGGATCAGGTCCCATAGAGGAGTAAGCATCCTCTATTACTGATCACATCCGCTGTGTGCTCCTTGTCACGATCGGGCAAACGGGAAATTCCGGGAAAATACTAGAAATTTATTTCTACTCATCTGTGACACATTATATTATAGTTTTTTTTTTATCTTCACATAAACTATTTCACATTTCAAATCAGAGTATCAATCAATATATTTGTTATTCATTAAAAAAATACAAAAAAAAATAATAATTAACTTTAATGATTTAACTGAAACTTAAAAAAAAATGACACGAAAAGATGATTTTTTATAAACTATAGTACAGAAGCAAGCAACATGTCTTTTTGTATTTCTTTTTTCAAAGTTTCCCAAAACACCATATTACCAAGAGGATCATCGGGGTACTCTATGAAACAACCTTTCTTGATGAAGTCACGTGCTTTCCTTGGATACTTCGACTGACAAACATCTGGCATAAGTATAAGATACACAAACTTGAGCGACTTCCGTGAACTGATGCCCTCCATTCTGGCCATGTTTAACTCGTAATCCTGCCAGTCCGACTCCAGATAGTTTTTGGAAACCACGCATACAGTTCGCTTACTTCTGCTGATGTAGTCCATTATATTTGTGGCGTGGTCGCCACAAGGTTCCATATCTCTCTGCATTATTGCTAGTCTTATATCAGATTGCTCTTCTATGTTGGGAATCATTTCGTTTTTCACAAATGATAGATCTTCAGTAGAATATGAAACATAAGCGTCAAATTCGAAATCTCCATCAGAGCAAGACTGAAGTCGATGATACCCACGAAGTTTTTTATTGGCAATATATCTGATGTATCGTATTTTCCATCGGTTTTTATAAATCAGATAGCTGACGGTCAAACTCATTACTAAAGTACCAGAAATGGAGCCAACGATATACCAGAGAAGGAAAGACTTACAATCTGTTATTAACATATCAAGAGATTGCTGAAGGGGAGATGAGTCTTCCAAGCATGTGTAGTTTTCAAAATTTTTGAAATGGGACTTAAATGATACAAGCCATATTAGGAATTTGATGTTTTTGCAGCTGCAGGAGAGTCGGTTGTTAGCCAAGTCCACTGTTAAATTTGGATTTCCATTATTGAAAAGATACTCCAGATTTTGAATGGCTGTTGGTTCGAAGCTTGTCAGGCGATTATCGGAGAGATCAAGAAAGGTCATGTTCCACATGTGGTCGATTTTGACATCCCACTTGTATAATCTGTTTCCATTTAGTATCAGATGATTTATATTTGAGGCGTTCGCAAAAATATCTGTATGGAGAATTTCAATTCCATTGCTTGATAAATCTAATAGTTCCAAATTTAACTGATTTTTAAATGTCCCTCCTGTGAGGTCGAGAGATAGACTTTTGCCGAGATAGTTCCCTGACATGTTTAACCTTCTGACATTAAGGAAATACGTAAAAAATTCTGTAGAAAGGTTGTTACAAAAGTTCATCGATAGATCTACCGTTGTGACATTTTCAAATCCATATAGGGGACCAATCCAGTTGTACCAAATATTGTTCCTCATATAGATCGATCTCAAAGATGCTGTCTTTATTCCAAAGCTCATTAATCTTCCATATAAGCGACTTGATTCCCAGAGCAGCACCTCAAGTTTAGGTGGAAAGGTAAATGTTAGTATCAAACCTGGCTTATTTTCGAATTGCTCACTTTTAATAAATGGATCTGAAACATATTCCGTAGAACAAATATGTTCGTCTTGATTTTCGTTGCAGGCTTGGAATACTTTTGTTATGATACTAGGAGGATTTAGCTGGTGGCTTAGATCTATTTCTTTCAAACCGGCGAGGAAACTGTATTCAAATGAATACATCCCGGTTGAAAGTCTGTTATATGCTAATGAAAAATTCTCCAGGCTTTCCGGTAAGTTTTTCAGAACACCCATTTCCATCCATTCCAGTCTATTTCCGGCCAAGTTTAACTCTTTAATAGAGGTTTGTGAGAGTTCCGCCAAGTGTTCACGACAAAGGGTAGTTCCCGGCCCCATGAAGCACCGGATGTTGTCTAAATATAGTCGTTCAATCTTAGTGTTTTTCAGATTAAATGTTATATTTTGTAATGCTTGGAAACCCAGTTCTTGGTTATAGGATAGATATAATTCAGTCAGATTTTGAAATAAGCTGAAAGTGCCATTATCGATATTTTTTATCTTGCACGAAGAAAGGTTTAATACCTTCAGATATATCAAATTCTCAAATGTTGTATTTTTTATGTGCCATAAGTAACACTTTCCTGTTCTTCCAGAAAGATCAAGTGTATGCAACGACTTCAAAAATGCAAAAGGTTCTCCGAACTGATTTTCACTGGAAGCATCCATCCGGAGCACTTCTAAACTTTGCAACTCTGCTAACACTATACTATTGAAAAATCCATCTCGGTTGTTCTTGAGATTTAGTTGACGCAACGATGCCAATGGTGCAAACAAGCTTTCGTTGTAATTGGAAAATGTTATTTTGTTGTTTTTTAAATTCAAAACCCGGAGGCTGAACAGGCAATGAAACGGGTTTTGCACGATACTACTTATTGCATTGTAAGATAAATCAAGGTTGATTATTTCACTAGGTGGAATGGAATGATCAATCGTGGTGTTGCTGTTACAAAAATCGGGAATGGAATGCAAATCAAGGCCAGAGCAGTCCACGCTTAGTCCGTCTGTTTCCTGTGTATATGTACACATTATCTGCTTTTGAAAATCATCTGTTTCGCCTTTAACATTGCAACCTACCATGACAATAATTCCAATGAGGGTTTCCATCTCCAAAATATGAGAAGATATGGTTTGTAAATACAGCTGTATATTTCATAGTAAATGAGTGATCGTGTGAATTCCACATGATTTTAATAGGCAATCCAACATGGCGGAAATAGTAGAGGACTTTAATCAAACACATAGATCGCGATTTATAAGTGTTTTCCAGTACGGTGTTGCATAGATTTTTAGAAATACATGGACAAGCATGTAGTATTTATATTGTTGTTCAATTAATTTCCTTATATTAATGTAAATAAAAGGTAAATCGAAAATATGCTAAACGAGTTCAAATTGTGGGAACACTCAAAATAAGGGCAATGTTCAATATTGTAAAACAAATTTATAAATAAAATGTGCAAAATTAGCCACTTGTGTGTATATATAGACTGGCGTTAATTACCAACCTTTATTTATAATTAAGATGTGTGAACCAGCATGCAAAATATCTCATAAACTAGCGTTAAATGCATGAAAAAACAAATTTTATTATCAATTAAGTACATATATATGTAAACTAAGCTATATTTCTCATTATTGAAAGATGTGAATTTTGTCGAACAAAACATTTCTTAATTCTAAAACTTTGCTGCAAAATATAATCAATGCATGATGAAAATTCCAGGATTTCGTGGAAATTCAACCTAGGCCATAAAATTATAGGTATTTATACAAGATATATATATATATATATATATATATATATATATATATATATATATATATATATATATATATATATATATATATATATATATATATATATACTTTCACGCCATCGTACATGGTCTATGGTGAAACAGGTCGCTTTCCTTTGTATATCTCGGTGTATTGTAGAATGATTTCTTACTGGGCAAAGCTTTTTTCCGGCCCATCAAATAAAATTGTAAATGTTTTATATAAGCATATGTTTAAACAGTATTGTGATGGAAATTTAACAAACCCATGGTTAGATTTTATACAGAAAATATGTAATATGTGTGGTTTATCAAATGTATGGTACGAACAGGCTGTCAATATAAATTGTAAATGGATACATGCCACTGTGAAAGATCAATTTATTCAAAAGTGGTCTAGTGGCGTAAATAACTCTTCAAAAGGACAGATCTACAAAATATTTAAACAAAACTTTGGATTAGAACGTTATATTGATAAGTTATCTCCTAAATTTAGAAAAATATTTATAAAATTTCGTACTGCAAATTATCATTTACCGCGGTAGAGATTGGAAGATGGCATGGTATACCACCGTGTGATAGAATATGTAAACTTTGTAACAGTACTCAAACTGCTGATGAATTTCATTATTTATTAGAATATAATTTAATTCTGGTTGTAACGATGTATTTGATTGGATAAAAAATTACTTTATATCGTATAAAATGAATGTAAAAACCTTAGTTACATAAATTTTGTATTGAAGTAATTTTAAAATTCTTTTTTTCTTACATCAAATGAATGAAATTAAATTATTATTCACATAGAAATGTTATCAAATTTATGAAACTGATGTTATACCAATAAACTGGGTGTTGAAACAGTTATGCATGTTTATTTTAAAAATTTACCGTCTCTCCTCGATATATTTTCCAGCTCATTTTAAACTCTTTCCTCCTTTATTCATATGTTACCTTTTTGTTATATAGAAATGATGTACCTCTGACCAGTGTATATATTTTGTATATATGTTATTTGAACCCCATATACCAATCTTGGTTTGGGTAAATAAAAGGAACTTGAACTTGTACATATCGGTTATTTTCTGAAAATATAACCGCCATGCCGGGCATTTTTATGTAACAAAGGTGCAATAATTATTTTAAAAATCGTATACGGTAATAATAAAACTTAATTTATTATTACCGTACATGTATATGATATTTTAAATGAGATCTACAATTTACAGAGATTTTTCTTCGTTTTTTTAAGTCTTGAAATAAACATTACTTTTAATCGTTTTAGCTTTGGGGACCATTTCTGCTGGTATAAATGTTTTTAAAGACAGGACAAAGACGAATTTAAACTGAATATTTTTAATACTACTTCTCTTCGGAACATACTAAAGACCTGATATACTAAAGACCTTATTTGTTATATAAAAATTTTTACAATTTATCAATTTCAACATATATATTTCTGGTGCAAAATTATTAATGATAGTGGCTAATACTATACTAAAATACACTTTTAGTGGATAATAAGTAGATGTTTTTGCTATGTATGAAGGTATATTCACAAAACTTGATGACCAGATATTTTGAATGACCTGATTTTTTTAACTTTACAGACCTGATATTTTTAAATGAAATGGAATTGCTGCAAATATTCAAATTTTATGAAGTTTAACATTGAATTTGCTTTATTTTCCTAAAAAATATACTGTAAGAATAAATCAGGTCATTTAAAAAAAAAAATCACATATCATTTAGAAATATCAGGTCATGGAAAAATATCAGGTCTTTAATATGAAATCATAAGGTCATTTCAAATCATCAGGTCAATTGTTTTCTTTAATTCTGGCAAAAATATTTGTCTCAAAACCAGTTTAAAGTCTTTGATTTTCTAAAAGAATTTTAAAAAATATGTCATTTAAAATCTGCTCCCCTTGAAAGTCATTTATAAAAATACATGTATATGATTTTTTACCATCGGCTCAGAGGAACGACAATTTACAGAGATTTTCCTTCGTTTTTTAAGACTTGAAATAAACATTACTTTTAATCTTTTTAGCTTTGGGGATCATTCTCTGCTATTTACTAAAAGTATAAATGTTTTTTAAAGTTTAAATTGATAATTTTATGTGATATTTTTTCATCAGGTCAGAATATGAGGTCTTTAGCTGTTTAGTATGTTCCCTTCTCTTCAGACTGTTTAGGAAAATGAACATATTTTATCTAAATATACAAGAATTCATTTTTGAAAATCACGATTTTTAAAACATTATGTATGTATTAGAGAAAGTATATATGCATTTAATTAATTCATTTATTTTTGTTTTAATATTTACGTCTTGAGTGCATAGATTTTCATTTTTCCGGAAATTTATGAACCGATCATACATTATTCTCATCTTTAGAATATAATTCCGAATTTCCTCGAGCAAGAATCTGGAACTTCGACAAAGGGGTCAACATTGAGAGAAAATAGCTTAGATACGGCTATCGAAATGCAGAGAAAATAGAAGTGAGTATCCCCTTTTAGTTTTTTTCAAAGAAGAAAAGAATGGAATACGAATGAAAATGTTCAATGAACACGATGTCAAAAAAGAGCTTTGTTAAAAAAAATGAACAAATTGAACTTTTTGTATTACAGTAGGCCTAATGGCTAAACAGTTTTTCTTTTATCATTAAATATACATTAGTCTGATAGATCTATGTTTGCATGCTGGGTTTAAATCAAGAAAATCTCTCAATGGTTAAGTTACTCGATCTAAAATGACAAGGAATGTACAATTAATGAATTATTGATCCTAGTGTAGTGTTTAGTTGTTACCAGGTTATACCTATGAAGCTGCTGCACTAGACTAAATAAAATAACACATTAACTGATTAAGTGGTCAGGGGTTGACGGTGATTGTGTAATTAAACAGTAGAAATCAGAATAAGTAAACAGGTCCAGTCCCAAAAACTATTTCTACCTATGTAGCTATTAATAGCTATATAGGTATTTAAGCCTACCCAAAGTAGCTATTTTTACCTACTTTTTGTATTATTTGCATTTTGTGACCAAAAGACCAAATGGTGCAACATGGTGAATACCCTATTTTTTGATACAGTCACATTGATGAATGCAATAAAATTTTGGTCAAAAAATGATTACTTACTGAATCGGCAATTTTACATTAGTTTCCATGCAAAATTGATAATATAAGAAGTAATCATTTTTTGGCTAATTTTTTTTTCATATCCATCATCATGATCATCAGTGTGAATGTATCAAGGAATTTAAAGTTCACCATGTTGCACTGTTCATGTGTTAATTTGGCCATAAAATGCAGAAAATACAAAAAGTAGGTAAAAATAGCTACTTTGGGTACTAGGTTTAAATACCTACATAGCTATTAATTGTTATGTAGGTAGAAATAACCTTTGGAGTGGACCTGCTAAACAGCTGTTTACTGAAAAATTAGACAGAGCATACAATACATGCTATAAAATCATGCATATTATCAGCAGCTGTACTTGATATAACAATGTGTAACATACCACAACAATATCCCAGAGAGCAGGCTCTGTTAAAAGGTGTTACATGTTTCTACAGTATTAAATATTGCTTTAAAATAGCTGCTGTTGTACTATTAAATATGATTAAATAAACTTTGCAAAAGTGTAACAAGAGACATTTTACATGCCTCTGCTAGGGATTGAACCCGGGTCTGACCGTCTCTGGGTTGCCAATCCAGAGCTCTGCTGAATGAGCTAGAGGGTTAAATAACTATGAAGGATGCCATGTATCTTACACTACTACAATAAACTCCAAAATGCCTGCATTAGAATTAACACTGAATTTTGGTCGATTTCAAGCAAGGACTTGAGTGAACATTCCCTGCTGACTGGTCACACCAGCTGTGTGCTCCTTGTTGTGATTGGGAAATAACAGAAAAATCTATGGACAGCTCAGTGTGTAAATAATGGGCTAACTATTAGTATTCTCATTTTACTTCCAATTACAGGGTCATTGTACCCATATTTTCAGTATGCCATACTTTTAATCATAAAATCACTAATATATGCCTTGAAGATCCATTAGCTACTTCTATGACTGCTACAAAAGAACACACACACACCTCACAAATTGTTAGCTCATACAGTGAATGAGATTTAGGGGAAATGGTTTTCGTTCATATGCTTTAAGTATTTCAAAATAAAGTATGAACTAGGGATGGGTATTGCCAAAAATTTCGTATCACAATATATCACAATTTTTTCCCAAAATATCACGATAATATGATGATATTTTTACAGCAATTTTCAAATGATTTTAAATGAATGGTCCTTATTTTTCTTTAAAATATGCTTGAAAAACAAAATTTCACTATTTTAAATCTTTTATGTACATAAAATTGTCATGTTTGGAGAAAATTTACCTTTTACAACATTTTTTAGACTTTCTGTGAGTGAAATTTGAAATATTGAACAATGAGGAATAATTCCTGGACTTTATAATATATACCTAAAGACCGGTATTTAGGTCTCCGTATCACGATACGTATCACGCAACAAAAAATCGCGATATACCGGTATACCGATAAAATTGCACATCCCTAGTATGAACTATTTCATTTGTAATGTTGTTTAGGAATCTTCTGATTTTTACAATGTACAGGTAACTTGTATGAAGCACATGGGACAGAATGTGAGTACATACAGGTAAACAATATACACAGCTGGTATTTATACAGTGTAAAATAGGGTGGTTGTGCAAACAAATATCTAAATTTCTCTCTCATACATTGGAAAAAATAGTTAAAGGGATGATTTTAGAATATATATAAGGATGGTACCATAATTTAATTATTGGAGGCAGGGAAAAGATTTATATCTTTAATTTTCTTAATCTGAGCTTTCAGCTCAGGTGAGCTTATATGGCAATGTACCTTTCTGATTTATTAGGTTTTTTATTTAAAACACCTGGCTGTCTGACATCTATAACTTTGTCATTTATGTAAATTAACAAGTCCTTCAGTGTTTTCAACTATATATAACATGAAAAGTAAACATAAAACATGAACAAAACAAAAAAGTTCACAGACATTTTCCTTCTTAAATGTGTGCAACTGTTGAATAGACACAATATGAAGGTTTAACATTAACTTTAAGGAAGTACATGTAAATGTATTTTTATGATTCAGTTTTCATTGTTGAAAAGTTTTTCCTCACAATTTCATAAACATGATTTAAGAAAGATTAACTGCTTTTTTGGAGCAAATATTCTGATAGTAGAATTTCTTCAAAAGAATTTTAACATAGTCATATTTCCCTTTTTAAGTAACTTGCTGATTAAATATTGCCCTATTTTATTTTCTTAAAAACTTTTAAATCAAATTAATCTTAGTAAAGAGTAGAAATAAAATTTATATTTTGATTTTTTAATTAATTAATCCATATCAAAATAAGTAGTCCAATGGCTTCTAATCCTCTTGTTTGCAATATCTTCAGCTTGTGTTAGAAGTTATTATCAGGTGCTAATTAGTGCCCTAGGGTCATGTACATATTCCTTAATAGATATTTTTCACACATTTTGACCTTGTCTCTTGGTATTTTTATACACATACTTTGACTTTAAATTTTAGTTTGGCACAGAATAAGTCAAATACCAACATTCTGAGAATATCTTTATATGTTCAATGTTGAAATTGTACTTTCAACATAAATTTAATCTAATGTTTCATGATTCCAAATTTTTTAACATATGAATTAAGGTAAAACCATGAGTAAACTTTCTATTAGTCAGCATCTATGTATTCCTGTCACAAATTTTGCCCACCAGTGGAAAGAATCCAGTGTGCCAGGAAAATCTTCAAATCTAATAGATGTAGGTTAGGAGATACAGTAATTGAAAATTGTATGAACATTTTAATAATATTATTGTCAAAAAATGTTGTAAAATAATCTGATATAAATATAAAGGAATGTACATCACTATTTACATTATAATTTATACATGTTTTCTTGAATGTAATGTGTAATTTAATTACTTACATTTGCAAAGTACATGTAATTGTAATTTAATTAATTACATTTCAAAATCCATGTAATGGTAATTTAATTGAAGGTTTTGGGAAAGCAATTGTAATTTAATTAATTACTTTCCTATGTAATTGACCCCATCCCTGGTGAAAACAGAATTTGTAGAAAAGTCAGTGCATGGACAGTGGGTTTTAATTGGAAACACTGAAAGTAAAAGGTCTGTTGCATTGCTGTAATTTATATGGTTGCATGTATTATATTTAAGTGTTGCTTTGTAAGTGACGTTTCACCATATGTTGCCTTTTCAGCGGACATTGACTCTCATTTTAAGAGATTAATTTCTACATAATAAGAAATAGAGGTCAAAAGGTCAAATAGTGGCTGTCACTTTTACATTTCTACCTATTCACTTTTCTAAGACATTTACATTTTAATTCTCCTTGTATTAATTATTATTCATCACTGAAATGGGAATAATATTTGCAGTGGTCATTATTGTTATGTACGTTGTGACCATCTGTGTTATAAAATGCTGCAATAAACCCTCAGGTGCTGACATGAAGCAAGAGGATACTAGTACATCGGACTCCGACTACTAATGGCTGACGGTGATGTCAAGGACAAAGAAGAAGGAAAGGCCATGGTATTTATTCCTGTAGGACGTAACCTTCAGCGACCCACCATTTTGCCCACAACGTGTGGATTCCGGCGGCTATACGTCCACATCTGTCTCTTTGTGGTAGTTATCATAGTGATTCTGGTGCTGCGAGCCATCTCCAATGTGCGCGTGGTGTTCGTTCAATATCACTCTAATTCTGACACTGATGGGGAACTGGTTGTTCTACCAGAGAAGTTTGCGTTCTCCAGAGGGGCGTATTGTCTGGACGGCTCTCCACCGGGGTATTACATCAGATATGGTAAGAATTATTACACAAACCTAAATTGATGTGTGCACTGCCAACATATTGTAAACCAAAATGCTGCAAGAGTAGAAACAATCAGTCCTGATACATTGTAAAGATTGCAGAGCATAATTCTGAAGAAGACATAAATATGTTACTGCATATACATGTTTATAAAATGTGAAAGTCTTAAGTTTGCAATAGCTTTTTCTTTTGTTCTGCTGTGATAAAACCCTCTTTTTGGAAGTTGTCAAGAAGTTACAATTGTCATTATTTAATCTTTTTAAACTTCATTATTTTGTTTATACTTCAATGCATTTCAGATTGAATGATTGCTTAACCAGAAAATCACATGCACATACAATTCTCATCTAAGTCTCGTAGGTAATGAATTGCACCATGTACTTCAGCTGGGTATTTTTTTTGCATGCTGGTCTTTTTGCTGGAGGAATTTTTACAGTTTTTAAATTGTACATGTATATATAACTGCAGAAAAGCATCAATACTGTAAACCAACTATTATTTGCAACATCTTTATTCGTGATTCTTTAGCTTGGAGGACATTTTCAAGTACTTACTGCAGTATTTTCATGAGTAGGGCAGCCTTCCACATAAATACATGAATAATTAGTTCTCGACAAGAATATTTGTAAGAAAAAGTTGTGTAACTTAGATATTTCTCGCTTGTAAATAAAATTTGGTTTATAGTATTCATCTTGTAACCACATACTGTGAAATAACTAATTTTCATGGGAGGTTAATTTTCGTGGTTTTCAAGTTATGAGAGACCCATGAATTTATGTCCACCATGTAATGTAATTTTTCACAGATGTTACAACTCAACAATCCTCCATCCATGAAATTAAATCCCCACAAACCTACATTTTTTCCTCAAACCTCGAAATTTGACCTCATGAAAATATGTGATTTTACAGTACACGTAGCATGCCATAGATAGGGATAGTTGACACAGAAAAAGAGGCAAGGATGAGTTGTTAAACTAACAGTATATACATGTATACTGTATATTTATTGCTTCTTTTAGGGAAGAGTCCCAACCTGAACAAGTGGATTGTACATCTTCCTGCAGGTGCTTGGTGCTCCTCTGTGGAGGAATGCTACAGCAGGTAAAATTAAAAAGACATGCAAGTTTTAATCTTCACTCTCACTGATCAAAATTTAAAGCCCTTTACCTGTATATGATGATGTTTCTATATATGTGAAAATTTCATGAATTGGATGTACATGTAATAATACAATCAATCAAATTACTGATCATTTATTCTTACAAGGTTAAATAATTGAATGTTAATTGAGAATTTTATATTAACAGGAGTCTGACAGAGCTTGGGTCCAGTGTAGAGGCTCCTATGTTCCGAGCTTTTAATGGAATTCTTTCTCCTAGTGAGTCAGAAAACCCCAAATTTCACATGTGGAATATGGTGGATTTCCTTTACTGTGATGGGGGCTCCTTTCTAGGTAGTTAGAGATTATTATGTACAGTTTTTGATTTGGTTCAAGACTGTACTGAAAATAATCTATTATAGCTGATAGACTTAACTATGTACATGGATTGTAAGATATTGAAGCATTTAGCAAATTTATCTTCAATTTTATATACATGACAAAAAGAGGTGTCTCAAAATACTTCAAATTTCAACAGAATTGAGAAGGTCAAAAGGTTTAGTCCCTGAATGTTTCAGTCACATTTTCATATGTATATTCTGAGATCAGTTCTTGTAATTTTTTTAACAGGAAACAGGAGCAATGTCATCAGCCACAAATCTAAGAAGTTGTACCTGACGGGTTTTCAGGTGTTTAATGCTTTGATCGACTACTTAGTGGAACACACAGAACTCAGAACGGCTGACCAGGTCATCCTCATAGGGTCCTCAGGTAAACAGGGAATTTATAGGTAACAGGGTTAACGTAGACTTATCTTCTAAAGACTTCTAAATACTTACATGTTATCTTCATTAAAGTACATATAATTTTGTGTTTGTCATCCTTAAACTCTAGCAAAATTAAAGCACGAAACAACATGAACATTTGGATTTCTTTTGAAATCCATGAGAAATATCGTTTTTATTAACAAGACAAACAGCTAGGAGCATCGATCTAGTTATGTCTTAGACTTAGCCATAAAATGTTCAAGAAAAATACTAACTTTTAGTTATTTTACTCAATGAACTTTTGAAATTTTCCAGTAAATTAATTTATTGTCATGTCGTTATATATAGCTGGAGGAGTGGGGGCTACAGTTAACGCTGACTTCCTGAGAGTGAGGCTGAGCGGGGTCAACTCACTCCACCTGGTGGTGGACGGCAGCATGTTTGTGGACAACCCCGAGCAAACTGGACAGCACATGATGAGGAACATCTTCAAGAATACTTTCTACCTCCATAACATACAAGGTACAATGTCAAACATTTATTTTCATTTTTCATAGATAGCTATGTACAGGAAAACCCTAGAGGTAAGAGTAATTTATCAAGTACCATGAATCAACTGGTACCAGGATTTGGTTGGGCTTTTAATAGTATGCCGAAGTAGTTATGTAATTTGAGTTGTTTTCTCACTGCACAGAGCTTCATTTCTTCTTCACTTACTGCAACAGCATTACCGCAAATGTGCATCAAATGAATTTTATGCTTACGTTTGAGAGATTTTCATTCTTGAAAGTAAAAATGTATAACAGTGTATGAACTTATTTTTGATGAGTTTGTCTATGGTACTGGTACTTCACTATTAACATGTTTTATGAGATAAATGTCAGATATATTTGACTTGTAATCTTTTCTATAACAAGGTGCCCAAAGTATTCAGGAGTGTACCCAGAAGATGCACAGCACTGACCAGTGGCAGTGTCTACAGCCCACCTTCTTCTACAAACATCTGTTCACACCTGTCTTTTTCCTGAACTCCCTGCACGATTCCTGGTACAGTAAGAACGCTATAGGAGTAACCTGCCCCTTCTCCACCTGTAGCCAGACAGACATTTCTATACTGGATCAACACAGGAGCTTTATTCTCTCCAAACTCTCTCCTGTTCTGCAGTCAAAGCAGGATGGGATATATCTGACCTCCTGTCCCATTCATACAATGACCATGAACAAAAGATTCTCTTCCAAGTTAAGTGAAGTGGGTATTTCCCCTCAGACCGCCTTAATTAAGTGGTATTTTCATCAAGTTCCCAACTATACTTTTGTTGAGAACATAGATTTTAGAGAAGCTACAGCAGTTTGCAAATTAGGAAACTGAAAAAAGCCTAAATATTTTTAGTTCTCCTTAGGAAGGAACTTTTTTTTGGTTTCTCACCACTGTGTAAAGTTTGTGAAGTACAATACATGTGATACACAAAAGAAAAACAACACATAACGTGAATGGCAATTTCAGATACTCGGCCTTTTCTGTATTGTTTGTTTCTTTGTCTTGTTTTATTTTTTCATATATGTGTTTGTAGAATTACAAACATTTTGTTCAAGTTTATAGCAGATCAGTAAACCCCATCCTTTTTTTTGTTGGGAAATGTGAATTTTATTATACAAGTATTAATGCCTTAACTCTTCATATCCATAAATGCCATCATTTCTTAGATGTGTTATTTTAATTTAGATTTTGATCAGTGTTGTACATTTTCACAAGTGCTTTAAAGTAGAGTTATAGTATTGCCCAAGCAGGGATATTGTGCCAAATATTAGGCTTTAGTGGATTTTTTTTTATCAGACGTGTAATTTTCTTTACAAAATAAGTATTCTTTAATGAAATCCTTCTTTTGTGAGTTTAGAAAGGTATACAGTATTATGTATAATATCATATGCATCATCTACAAACAAATTCTTTGTTTTATTATGTATCATTTAACTTCAACTTTTGCATAGGAGGAATTTACAAAATACACAAGTACTTAGTGCCATGTCAAATAAAATGTAGCTGCAAAATTTTTGAAGGAGTATTAGCAACTTTTACTGTACCACTTATAGAATGAGTGTGCCCCATTTTATATAATATTTCAATTTGCACCTTTAATTTTAGATTTACTTTAACTGTACTTTGTATATGTACATAAATCATGCATATGATTCTTCTTTCCCTCGTGTAATTATAGTTATCATTAAAACCAAATGTAAAAATACCAAATAGACATAATTCACAGGTTTTTGAACACATGAATTAAAATACTAAAATGTGTACTCTAAAACTGTCATTCATGTTTAACTTGAACACTAATTTCTTGCATTATTGAAGTAATATTACTCTAAATTCTTCATTTTCTACCCTTTTCACTGCTCTTTCACACTGTGATTTCTAAATGGATTGAATGTTTACCTCTGGTTCTAAATTGCATGTCTGATCTTCAGTCTCTACAAAAGAGCTTTACCAGTTCAGCAAAACTTGTTTAGTACGAACACGGATATTGCGAATTTACGGATATAGCGAAGTCATCTTGGACTCCCAGCTATATAAATTTAATGAATGTCATATATGGTTATAACGAATTACGGATATAGCAAAGTAATTTCATAGGTCCCAGCAACTTCGTTATAACCGTGTCTTGCTGTAATTAACTTTTTTTGTTAATTAGATATATAATAAACTTGCTCGTGTTTATTTTGATAGCTACATTATTTTTTCTCATTACTACCACATTTTTAATCTCTATCTAAAGTTTCTTCACTGTAACTTAACGATTTCCAAAGATCTCGCACTAATACTAAATGAAACGTCTGTTCTTTAATGTGGAGTTCTAAGATTCGATTAAGTCAAAACCCAGCTAATTTTTTTCCATCATTTAGCTACTTGTCACTGAAAATGTGAAGCAAATTTGAGATGTTGAATCATATGATAACTTTCACATAGTTACATATAGCAAAGCAAAGTCAAATAGGTGATTACATCAATCTTCTTTGCTTAACAGTGTGCAATTGATGTCAGATCAATTTCTTAAGTTATTTCCCCCTACAGTGTATAATGCGTGTTTGAGTTATTATACAGTCAAACCTCATTATTTTTTAACTCAATGAGACAGAGAAATCCCAGATATCCTAGGATACGAGATATTAAAATAAAATGCTTAAGTGTTTGGCACTACAAAGCTACTTTGGTATATCCATTGTAATTGAGATTTTGGTGTTCAAGATACTGAGGTTCAACAGTATACATATAATTTTTTGTGTGATTTTTTAAAGATTTATTCTACGTTTTGTCTGGACTGTTAGTCTGAATTTTATAATTTGTTTTATATTTATTACCCAGAAAAGTATGTGGCGAATGTACATATTATATACAAACAATTTGTATTTTTTGCAGTTGGAAATATTTTGCTATTTGACCACAAACATGACAAAAGACAAGAAATAAAATTCTTCAATTTTAGATTAGATTTCTGTAATTTATAATTTTGAATACACCAATTTATGAACACATATAGTATATTTCATGTCAGGAATATTTTGCAAATGTAAATTTGAAGGATATGTCCTTAATGAAAAACATGGACAACTGCAGAAAATCTGTTATACAGTATCGAGCTTTGTAAGCATTTTGTTCTGTATATATTGAAAGATTGCTCATGAAGGCAGAACTCCATTTTTTTTACATAAATTTTATTTAGAATGATACTCTATGTAATATTTACATATACATGTAACATTCTTTGTCACAATTTATACTTTGTGAACACATTGATGTGAAGTGGAATAAAATCATACAATTCTTAAGTTTCTATTTAGCCCTTTTACATGGGCTTGTAATAGCACCTCTTCAATATGCTGAATTTCCCTCTTATAAAGGGAAATAAAACAGATTAAGGTACATGCAACATGAATCTGTCACAGAACATCTGTTGAACCCCTTAACATTCCTACAGCAGGAAATACATGTAGATTCAGCAAACATATGGTATGTTTCATAGAGCCTGTATGTTTAATGAGGCATCATAAACACAAAAGCCGTGTGTGAGGAGGAACCATGGGATTTGTTTTCTGAAAAAAAAAGAAATTGAATTGATACATGAACAAAAACATAGGTAATCAGAGATTACAGAGCTCACCTCAACGAATGTTGTCTTTAATTAAAGCAATATGAGCTGCATATTTGAAAATTTTATTTTGCTGTTAAAATGTGTTATTATGATAAATTTTATGTAACTTAAACCTTTATGATCAATTAGACTTGAATAAAGCAGAAGAAATACTTCTTTATGCAATATAATATACAGTTTTATATAAGAAAGCATTATTGTACAGGACGACAATAATGCAATTTTGATGCAAACAAGGCTTATAAATAGTTTTTCCGTCGCAAATATGAACAACAGAAGTTTGTTAACGTAATTTTTTTGTCATTGAAGTAGTTAATATTTACAATTTTGCAACAAAATATTTTACATCAAAGTTGCAGCTCGTATTGCTTTAAGGCAAAGTCACACAATTACCCAACAAAAAGTGTACATCCAAAAATGCAAAATTTATGCAATTTTGATCTGATATTTTTAAATAGACCTATATAAAAACTTCAAACTAGTTCTTCATCACGAAAATGTGATTACAAATCCAGCATCTGAAGCAAGTTTGAAAGTTTTCATCCCTTGATGCATCATTTGGGCAAGTTTGGTTTATATAAGCCTTATAGTTTCTTGGTAATAGACCTGCTCCTATAACTTTTACCTGGTCCATTATCTGGAAAAAGTATGTTGAATTCAGCATCCGGAGCAAGCCCATTAGTATGCATCCTAAGATGTATCATCCATGTGAGTTTGCACAACATTGGGCTTATAGTTACTCAGAAATGAAACCTGCATAAAAATTTAACCTCCTCACTCATCCAGAAAAAAAAGTAGGTCAGATTCAGCATCTGAAGCCAGCCTGGTAGAATGCAACCTTAGATGTATCATTCATGCAAGTTAGGTCATTAAAGAGCTCATAGTTACTTGGAAATGAATCCTGCAACAAAAACTTTTACCTGTTCACTCATCAAGAAAATGTAGGTCAGATTCAGCATCCGAACAAGTCTGGTAGTATGCATCCCAAGATGTACCATCCATGCAAGTTTGGTCACCATAGGGCTCATTGTATCTTGGAAATGAACCCTGCATCAAAAACTTTAACCTGTTCACTCAACCGGAAAATGTAGCTCAGAGTCAGCATCCGAAGCAAGCCTGGTAATATGCATCCTTAGATGTAACATTCATGCAAGTTTGGTCAACATAGGGCTTATATTTACTTGCAAATGAGACCTGCACCAAAATCATTAACCTGTTAGCTCATCTGGAAAATGTAGGTCAGATTCAGCATCCAAAGCAAGTCTGGTAGTGTACATCCTTAGATGTATCACCCATGCAAGTTTGCTCAACATAGGGCTTATAGTTACTTGGAAATGAGACTTGCACCAAAAACATTAACCTGTTCACTCAACCGGAAAATGTAGCTCAGAGTCAGCATCCGAAAAAAGTCTGGTAGTGTACATCCTTAGATGTATCACCCATGCAAGTTTGCTCAACATAGGGCTTATAGTTACTTGGAAATGAGACCTGCACCAAAAACATTAACCTGTTCACTGAACCGGAAAATGTAGGTCAGATTCAGCATCCGAAGCAAGTCTGGTAGTGTACATCCTAAGATGTATCATCCATGCAAGTTTGGTCAACATAGGGCTTATATACTTGGAAATGAACCCTGCACCAAAAAACATTAACCTGTTCACTCAACCAGAAAATGTAGGTCAAATTCAGCATCCGAAGCAAGCCTGGTAATGTGCATCCTTATTTATATACACCATCCATGCAAGTTTGGTCAACATAAGGCTCATAGTTACTTCGAAATGAGACCTACACCAAAAACTGCACCAAAAATGTTAACCTGCTCCAAAAACATTAACCTGGTCATTCCTTTGCTGAAATTGCAGCATCTGAAACTATGACTGGTACAATGAAACACACTAGAAGCATCTTCCATGCATGTCTAATCAATATAGGGCATAGAAGTACTTAAAAAGAAAACTGCTCCAAAAAACTTAACCTTCACCTGGGACGCCGACACCGACGCCGACACCGAGGGTATTACATAAGCTCCCCCAACTTCGTTGAGGTGAGCTAAAAAGCAGTTGATTTCACTCATTAAGAATGACATTGTGCAAATTGTATTATGGTCTATATATACACTGACAATAAACACTGACAATAAAACATAATGCTCAAGGAGAATGGTCCAATACACTGACAGTATAACACATATGATTTGTGAGGAGAATGGTCCTAAAAAATGACAGTATAATACAATGTGTGAGGAGAAGTGTCCTATACACTGACAGTATAATACAATGTGTGAGGAGAATGGTCCTATACACTGACAGTATAATACAATGTGTGAGGAGAATGGTCCTATACACTGACAGTATAATATAATGTGTGAGGAGAATGGTCCTATACACTGACAGTATAATATAATGTGTGAGGAGAATGGTCCTATACACTGGCAGTATAATATAATGTGTGAGGAGAATGGTCCTATACACTGACAATATAATACAATGTGTGAGGGGAATGGTCCTATACAATGGTCATATACACTGGCAGTATAATACAATGTGTGAGGAGAATGGTTCTATACACTGACAGTATAATACAATGTGCGAGGAGAATGGTTCTATACACTGACAATATAATACTTACAATGTGTGAGGAGAATGGTCCTATACACTGACAATATAATACTTACAATGTGTGAGGAGAATGGTCCTATACACTGACAATATAATACTTACAATGTGTGAGGAGAATGGTCCTATACACTAGCAGTATAATACAATGTGTGGGGAGAATGGTCATATACACTGGCAGTATAATACAATGTGTGAGGAGAATGGTCCTATACACTGACAGTATAATACAATGTGCGAGGAGAATGGTTCTATACACTGACAATATAATACTTACAATGTGTGAGGAGAATGGTCCTATACACTGACAATATAATACTTACAATGTGTGAGGAGAATGGTCCTATACACTAGCAGTATAATACAATGTGTGGGGAGAATGGTCATATACACTGACAGTATAATACTATGTGTGAGGAGAATGGTCCAATACACTGTCAGTATAATATTATGTGTGAGGAGAATGGTCCTATACACTAGCAGTATAATACAATGTGTGAGGGGAATGGTCCTATACACTGACAGTATAATACTATGTGTGAGGAGAATGGTCCAATACACTGTCAGTATAATATTATGTGTGAGGAGAATGGTCCTATACACTAGCAGTATAATACAATGTGTGAGGGGAATGGTCCTATACACTGACAGTATCATACTTACAATGTGTGAGGAGAATGGTCCTATACACTGACAGTATAATACAATGTGTGAGGAGAACAGTCCTGTACACTGTCAGTATAATATTATGTGTGAGGAGAATGGTCCTATACACTGACAGTATAATATAATGTGTGAGGAGAATGGTCCTATACACTGACAGTATAATATTATGTGTGAGGAGAATGGTCCTATACACTGGTCCTATACACTGACAGTATAATATTATGTGTGAGGAGAATGGTCCTACACACTGACAGTATAATACAATGTGTGAGGAGAATGGTCCTATACACTGACAGTATAATATTATGTGTGAGGAGAATGGTCCTATACACTGGTCCTATACACTGACAGTATAATACAATGTGTGAGGAGAATGGTCCTATACACTGACAGTATAAGGGCTGTTCGGAAATTATTGAGACAATTACATTTACTCCATAAAGGACAGAGATAATTTCATGAAAATTCGTCAACATTTCATAAAGAACGAATAAGACACTTATGCAAAATTTCCAAATCCTATGATGATTAGATAAGTTTTGGTGAAATAATAAACATGCATATGTCTATCAACCCGGAGCAGTATCGCTACGTTATTTAACGTCACGTCAGCCGGAGATGTTTTCGCATGTGAAACGATCGGGAAGCGTTTAATACTCTTAATTCTTTGTTATTACATATAACATTACAAAAATCAAGCATTCTCTTTTCTTAAACTATTCTTTAAAACTGTATGCTGTTGCAACCCCAGTGTAAAATTTTTATTTGTTGGAAAGGATGACTTAGAATCACGCAATGCCCATTTATGCAATGAGGGTCAACAATATTAATACCGTACGTAATAACTGATGGTCTTCCAAAGCTTTTGATTTTACTTTGGTTGAATTAACTGTAAAAAAAAATGTACACCAATGAAATAACAAACTATAACACATTATTTTTTCTCGTTGTTATTGTTTCAGCAGGTCCTTCAGTCTGGAAAAGAGTTCTACATTGAGCTACACAAAATTTTAGGTATGCTGGCTGCTCCGCCTTTGACGTCAGAATCTATTTTGTCGTCGTTAACAGCTTTCTCTACCGCGCTTAATTTTTTTATGATCTCCGTATTTCTGATCAAAATTTTAACAAAGTTGCACAATATAAATTTGAAATAAAGCTGAAAAATTATATACATGAACTGAATTATTTTCGCTTTTATCATAGGTCCACGAAGAGATGAAACGTTGGTGTTTCATACTTTCAATACATGATTTCATGAGTGCTCCGGGTACCACTACTATTGATGCATTTATATACCATTGTAGAGAAAATATTAAATATTGGTAAAATATCTCTTGCTTTTATTAATTCTTAGAATGTGTCAAACGTACATGCAAATTTTCACAGAAAGACGTTCATTAGAAAGCAAAATATACACAATGTCTCAATAATTTCCAAACAGCCCTCGTATAATACCATGTGTAAGGAGAATGGTCCTATACACTGACAGTATAATACGTACAATGTGTGAGGAGAATGGCCCTATATTATGACAGTATAATACTTACAATGTGTGAGGAGAATGGTCCTATATTATGACAGTATAATACTTACAATGTGTGAGGAGAATGGCCCTATATTATGACAGTATAATACTTACAATGTGTGAGGAGAATGGTCCTATACACTGACAGTATAATACAATGTGTGAGGAGAATGGTTCTATACACTGACAGTATAATATAATGTGTGAGGAGAATGGTTCTATACACTGACAGTATAATACAATGTGTGAGGAGAATGGTTCTATACACTGACAGTATAATATAATGTGTGAGGAGAATGGTCCTATACACTGGTCCTATACACTGGCAGTATAATACAATGTGTGAGGAGAATGGTCCTATACACTGACAGTATAATACAATGTGTGAGGAGAATGTTCCTATACACTGACAGTATTATACTTACAATGTGTGAGGAGAATGTTCCTATACACTAACAGTATAGTACTTGCAATGTGTGAGGAGAATGGCCCTATATTATAACAGTATAATACTTACAATGTGTGAGGAGAATGGTTCTATACACTGACAGTATAATACAATGTGTGAGGAGAATGGCCCTATATTATGACAGTATAATACTTACAATGTGTGAGGAGAATGGTCCTATACACTGACAGTATAATACAATGTGTGAGGAGAATGGTTCTATACACTGACAGTATAATACAATGTGTGAGGAGAAGTGTCCTATACACTGACAGTATAATACAATGTGAGAGGAGAATGTTCCTATACACTGACAGTATCATACTTACAATGTGTGAGGAAAATGGTCCTATATTATGACAGTATAATACAATGTGTGAGGAGAATGGTCCTATACACTGACAGTATAATACAAATGTACTTATAATGTGTGAGGAGAATGGTCCTATATTATGACAGTATTATACTTACAATGTGTGAGGAGAATGGTCCTATTTTATGACAGTATAATACAAATGTACTTACAATGTGTGAGGAGAATGGTTCTATATTATGACAGTATAAAACAAATGTACTTACAATGTGTGAGGAGAATGGTCCTATATTATGACAGTATAATACTTACAATGTGTGAGGAGAATGGTCCTATATTATGACAGTATAATACTTACAATGTGTGAGGAGAATGGTCCTATATTATGACAGTATAATACAAATGTACTTACAATGTGTGAGGAGAATGGTCCTATATTATGACAGTATTATACTTACAATGTGAGAGGAGAATGTTCCTATACACTGACAGTATAATACTTACAATGTGTGAGGAGAATGGTCCTATATTATGACAGTATAATACTTACAATGTGTGAGGAGAATGGTCCTATATTATGACAGTATAATACAATGTGTGAGGAGAATGGTCCTATATTATGACAGTATAATACTTACAATGTGTGAGGAGAATGGTCCTATATTATGACAGTATAATACTTACAATGTGTGAGGAGAATGGTCCTATATTATGACAGTATAATACTTACAATGTGTGAGGAGAATGGTCCTATATTATGACAGTATAATACTTACAATGTGTGAGGAGAATGGTCCTATATTATGACAGTATAATACTTACAATGTGTGAGGAGAATGGTCCTATATTATGACAGTATAATACTTACAATGTGTGAGGAGAATGGTCCTATATTATGACAGTATAATACAATGTGTGTGGAGAATGGTCCTATATTATGACAGTATAATACTTACAATGTTTGAGGAGAATGGTTCAGTATAATACAATGTGTGAGGAGAATGGTCCTATACACTGACAGTATAATACTTACAATGTGTGAGGAGAATGGTCCTATATTATGACAGTATAATACTTACAATGTGTGAGGAGAATGGTCCTATACACTGACAGTATAATACTTACAATGTGTGAGGAGAATGGTCCTATATTATGACAGTATAATACAATGTGTGAGGAGAATGGTCCTATACACTGACAGTATAATACTTACAATGTGTGAGGAGAATGGTCCTATATTATGACAGTATAATACTTACAATGTGTGAGGAGAATGGTCCTATATTATGACAGTATAATACTTACAATGTGTGAGGAGAATGGTCCTATATTATGACAGTATAATACTTACAATGTGTGAGGAGAATGGTCCTATATTATGACAGTATAATACTTACAATGTGTGAGGAGAATGGTCCTATATTATGACAGTATAATACTTACAATGTGTGAGGAGAATGGTCCTATATTATGACAGTATAATACTTACAATGTGTGAGGAGAATGGTCCTATATTATGACAGTATAATACGTACAATGTGTGAGGAGAATGGTCCTATATTATGACAGTATAATACTTACAATGTGTGAGGAGAATGGTCCTATATTATGACAGTATAATACTTACAATGTGTGAGGAGAATGGTCCTATATTATGACAGTATAATACTTACAATGTGTGAGGAGAATGGTCCTATATTATGACAGTATAATACTTACAATGTGTGAGGAGAATGGTCCTATATTATGACAGTATCTCCTCATGGCCTCCTGGATGTCCTCAGGTTGTATCGCTGTAGAAATCTCTAAAGCACTTCCTACACCACTCTGAAAACATAAAGAGTGTTATTACAACTGCTGGACATGGTATGAATATAGGTTTATTAGATTCCTTACCATAATGGACAGATTTTGTTTTTCAATAAATTCACAAGAAAGAACACTTTAAGATTTTTGGAATACATGTGAAATAATGATAAACATTCCATATGCCAATTGAAGTTTTTGTGATTGATGTGTACAAGTTATTTCCAATACTAAATACAAGTGTAAATTATGGAATCTGCAGTATATGTAGGACTATGAAATCTCATCAAAGAAAACCCTATCCAGTACCATTTTAGATACATTATTTTCATAGTTAATGCATACTAATTAATAATTGGCATATTTTCTCATAGTTTATGCTAACATTTTGATGAATAGGAAAAGATTTATTTTACAGGTTACAATGGTAGTCTACCTTTTTGCGTTTTTTACTCTTGGGTTTCGGGAGTGAGGCACTGAGAGAAGAAGAGCTGGAACTCAAGCTAAGGGTGGATCCAGGAGTTGTTGGTGTGGCAGGAGGACTCTGGTACAAAAAAGTGCTTAATATTACAAAATGAGGCAGCCTTTTATCAACATAATGGTGTACTTGGTTATTTAAGTTAATAGACAGGAGCAGAGAAGAAGATTTTCAAAGAAATAATGCATTTTCACTAAATGATCCATATAGCCCCTCTCTAGCACTAGGGCTGGGGGCCATAAAACTTAGACGAGCTCACTTTGAGTTCCGTCTCACATTTCCACAATAATTTCCTTTGGAAATTAAGATGAGATCAAAAGTGAGTTCAAGTTTTATGGCCCCCAGGCCTGGACCCCTGAACCTAGGGCCATGAATTTCACAATTTTGGTAGAGGGCTCAATACAACCATGCCAACAGTTTGAATGGATGATGTCCAGGAGTAAAGATGAAGATTTTTAAAGATTGCAATAATTTTGGTGTTTTTAGTCCCATCCTTCAGGCCCCAGGGGGGCAGGAAACATGAAATTACGATTTTTTTCCCCTTCACCCATAGATGCTATATGCCAACATTGGTTAAAAAATGGTTAAGCGGTTACAGAGAAGAAGCTAAAAATGTTCAAATGTTAACAAACGACGAATGACGCACAATGATAGACAAAAACTGATAGCAAAAGGTCACCTGAGTGACTTGGGTGACCTAAAAAGGCAAAAGCTGCATATGATGCAAACCTGGAAAAATGGATCACTGAGACAATATTCATCTACTAATGCTTAATAAAATTTTAAATAAATGGAAGAGCATCATCTGTTTATTGACATACAGACTGTGCGTCTCTAAAAAGAAATAATTGTAGCTATTTTAAGCATGCCTGCATGCTCCAATATATGAGGGTTGTCCGTAAAGTTCGTGGACAAGCTAAAAATTAAATAAAAGATGTGTCATTGAAATTTATTATTAACATATTTTTAATTCTTTACTTAATGTGAATTGAAAAATGTGAAATTTTATTTAATTACAAATGTTTAATTACAATTATGGCTTCATAATTAGACTTGGAATGAATTATGTATCTTAGAGCACCGTGTGCAAAATTTTAATCAAATAAATATTATTATTTTTATAAATTACATTTGTATTTTATAAAATTCTGCGGAAATCTTGCTGACTTTTACATTATGAGGTTGACAGAAGTTATCACATCAAACATGCAAAATTTGAACGTTCAAAGTTTCAAAATGGCTGAGCAATCATAGTTAGAATATATTAAGACAGGATCGGAATAATGTTCAAAAAATGGACGTTCTCGGAATAGGTGGAGCAGTGGGCAGTGATAAAATTCTGCTCAGACATCGGAAAAACACCTACAGATACCAATACATTCTGTAAACAATCGGGATACAATAGTTAAAGAAGCTGTTTATAAGTATTTAAGAGCCATATAATATTTTCGAACAGAAGGAACAGTTTACAGGATGACATGCGTGAAGGAAAACCATCATTCCTAGATTTCAGTGATGTAAAAAATGAATTTCATAATGTGATTTTGAAAATCAAAATCGTTTTTACGCGGACAGAGGTTGGATGATTGCAGGATATGAGACAGGCATTCTTAAATATTATTTCACGTATGAAACCTGAACATTTTCTGCACATTTTTATGACTGGTTAAAGCGACAAAAGAAATGTATTGAGTTAAACGGTGACTATGTTGAGAGAAGTTACATGTACTCATATTAAGCTTTTCACGTCGGGTAATGTACATCAAGAATTTTTGTTTTATTGCTCCGGGTATGAGTGTGCGTCTTTTTTGTATCTGATAAAAATATAACTAGTTGTGCTTTGTTTTTGTTGAAAACTTGCATATTAATAAAATGAAACATGAATTTAATAAAAATAAAAGTTTCATATATTTTATCAATGTTTGTCAATAATTATCAATGTTGTCCACAAACTTTACAGACAACCCTCGTATTCTTAATAGATTTGTTATTTTCATGTTTGAATAGAATATAATAAAACAATGTGTGATCTAATATTTCCAACAATTGCCTCTTATTTCTAGATGAAAAATAATTACAGCAAAAGCAGTATCAAACAGAAGTTTGATGAGTTATTCAGAGCAATATCCTATGTACATGTATGCCTCCAAAACTATAGTTAAGTAATTCTTTTTTTTTTGGGGGGGGTGGGGGTTGAATTATTAAACTTATGTTTACCTGAATGGCAATGCAATTCCCCTTTTTACAATCTCGTTAACAGGTAAATGATCTTACCTGGACAGGTGAAGTTGGTCCCTGAGTGGTGGAGGGTGGGGCAGAGATTCCTGACCCAAGGGAGATTTGGTTGTAGTAATTAATACAGACAGTGGGGCCATTCCTTGGCACTGGGTCTCCATAAACTGTTTTCTTGTCCTGCTTCACTAGCAAGGCCATGTCCACTATCTGTTGAAAGAATGCTTTGTATATATACTTAGTAATTATATTTTTTTCATCAAATTTAGACTTATATAAACCAGTTAGCTTATGGGGTTGGCAATTTGTTTTTATTTTTACCATAATTTTTATAAAACCATCCAGAAACTTGCTACAAAAGGTTTAGATACTCAGCTTCAAAGTTCTAACCCTGGTTCTTCACATGAAGAGGTTTTACCATAGCGACCCACTGTGATGACTAAAAATATGGTACATGTATGTACGGCATCATTAAACAATAAGTGCCAGTGGTCAAAATCAACAGCTGCCATGATTGAGTTCTTGTTGCACTTCAGTTCTAACATTGTCTCATGAATCAAATGAATCAGTTGTATCTGATTTAATTATATATAATTACTACATCTACTTCACGCTGAATGAAATGGGTAAAATCACATAAAATTATACAAATAGAACATATACAAGTACTGTTTGCAGAAAATTAAGTTTATATAGAATCATTTTTTCTCTATTTTTTGTATATACCAAATATTAAACTGTACTATATATTTTATTTGAATTATTACAAACTATTCCAATTAAAATTTATCAACATGTATCTAGATAACAGTCCTTCTAAAAAAGAATGTGAAATGTTTTTATAACTGAAATCTTGTAAAAACTTCTAATCAGAATCTGACAAAAAACCCTGACAGAATTAAACCTAGATTTGTCAGAATGGAATGAGTCCCTTGCCTGCTACTGTTGGAATATGCAATTATCTGTACATTACCACAACTTAATTCTTTTGCTTCCAATTCCCTAAAGGTTATGAGATCTTAGGGAATCTTTTTTTTAATCAGACAAATAGAATGAACTCCAAGAAAAAGACAACTTTAGGTCACTGCATGCAAACCTACAACCTCTTATTGGCAAAAGTGAATATATCTTTGGACTCGGCGACTCCGAAAAGCAATAAAAGTGGAGGCATCAAACCAATATCATCATTTACACCTAGTAAGCTATCTTCAAACATTTATTTTTAGCTGCACATGCAGACAAATCCTTGAACTTTGAAATCAATCTTTAGGAAAACTTTCATGGAGTCAACTGAAATCTACTGAATTCAAAATGTAAGGATACTTTCATATGACATCTTTTCTGGCTTAGTTATTATTTAAAAAAAAAAGGTTTATATGATACCTTATTTGAGCTGTTATTTTTCTTTGAGCCTCCTTTGGAAAGTTTATTTAAAACTAGCTCAGTGATTAAAAGATAAAAATGTTAAAAAACAAGAGATGTTTGTAAAACACCTATGCCCCCTCCCCATATAATTGGAATTCTTCTAATTAGATATTCTTACGATAAATCTGTATACCAAATTTCATTTCAATATGTGCAACATCTGCAAAAATAATGAATAGAAACTGCAAATACATGTAATTGCAATTTTTCTAAGTCCAAGGGGTATAAATCTGTCCAAAATTGCCCAATCGTACCCAAAACACAAGTTGACCTATATATTCTTATGATAAATCTGTATACCAAATTTCATTTCAAGGGGGGGGGGGGGCATAAAAATTAAATAACATAATAATAACATAAATAAAATAAAAAACATAAATGCATATTACTTATTAACAGAGAGGAAAATACTGATTAAAATCATGAAATTTTTTTCTGTGCATCTGCTAAGCTTATGCATTTGTACAGCCAAATCATGCCAAGTCATTCACCTATACAAGTTCAATAACTCCATATTCCCATCTCTTTCATCTTCTTAAAATGAATATCTACTCCTATCATGCCGAGATGTACCTGAGCAACAATTTCATAGGCGAAGTAGTTGATGATTTCCATGGCGTGCTGATTGGGTTTGAGATCCATAATGACTCCTGCCAGTAACCAGTCCTTAAACCGCTGGGCTTTGTTACGCCTCCCTGTCAGGACAATGAATACAGTAAACCATCTATTCATTGTACATCATTTCAGTGTAATATTTAGCATATTTATGATATACATATGAAATTCTTATACATGAAACTGTGCTATTAGACTGAACCATCCTCAGACCAGCAGCTTTAAAATAATATCAAAATTAATTCTGTCAGACTAAAGCAATTTACTGGTCAGTAGAACTGTCCAACATTTTGAGAATCTGGTCTAGACATCAACATAAGATAATACACATACCAAAGCTAGCCTGTCTGGCCTCAACATATTCCATGTATTGCTTCTGATCCATGTACCTTGTTTGTATTTCTGCTCTCTGTAAATCATAATATGTACCAATATTAACACTGTCTACAAACATAAATAAAATATAGACTTTCTTGGTGGTTTTTACAAGTGAGCAGTTCTCCCCATAAATCAAATGGGGTTCAACAAGATTCCTTTGAAAACTTCCATTTTTTTTTTTGAGGAGGGGGGGGGGGTGTTTAGAGGTACACCTTAGGAAACATATAATCTTAACCAAAGTGTAACTATATGCATTTTTTGATGCAATTACCCATTTATATTAAAGGTTCAAGTGGGGGTTTCTATTACCAAAGTAATAAAAATCCTTCAAATGCTGTTATTTGTTTAATATAACATGCAGCATCTAAAACAATGAATAGTAATGTACATCCCTTTAGGCAATTTCCATACAAGTTTTGTTGATGATGTATGCCTGAACTTTGGCGGTGTCTATTATAGATTCCAACAATACTAACCAGTAATCTCTCTTTCTTCACTTCATCTGTTCCTCCATCTTCAAACAGTGCCAATAGTTCTCCTGATATTTGCAAAGGAAAAAATATTGTCTAGAATCTTTTTTTTTTTTACTTTTACGAGACCAAAAAGATTCAGTGTGTTGTATCCTTATGAATTATATAGATACCATTTTGAGTGTATTTTTTGAAAATTACAATAAAACAATGTATATCAATATTACTGATCAAAACTCAACAACCATTAACTTATAGATTTTTTCAACATTACAGAATTCCTCAAACCATGGTTTCCTTATTCTTTTTTTTAACTAAAATCTACATGTACATGATATATAAATACTTCTATCTTTTAAACATTTTATCCCAAGCCATGCTTCAAAACACTTCTTTTTCAATGATTATCAGAAGTCAAAGTAAGGTCAGGCACCTGTGGCGTCGATAGAGCTCAGGTAGTTGTAGCACAGTTTGAGGCATGTCTTCGCCGGATGAGCGAATTTTTCTCCCCCTGGATCTTCCTCTCCCTCCTCACTCACCCCCTTCATTGCCATGGTGCGCTGGTCCTTCACCCCCATATACCGCAACAGACGTCTCAGCTTGACCTTCAAAAAGGTCAAATATACTTCATTACAGAGTTTATTTTGGAAATGCAAGTTACAAAATTTATTGCCATTTCACCCTGACCAGTCCCCTTCTAAAATCAAATAGACAAGTTTTTTCAGTCTCAAAGACAAAATCTAGTTTGAATTGTGGGGGGTTCATGTACACAATTTTACATGTTCATGGGGACTAATTTCATGGGTTACTCTACAATGTATTCAATGAATCAATATACATGTATTTACAAACTAGAACTGTCCAAGCGGGACAAAATACCCCCCGCTGGGTTTTTCAGAAGTAAGTTTTTCCATGATAAAGATATGTATCACACATGAATTATTAAATTTTTCTTCTAGTGACCTTGAAGTTCCCTAAATGACCCCAGGTCAAGGTCATAACACACCCTTGGGTCATGGGCAATCTTTGTGTGAAATAAGAACCTACCAAGTTTATCCATAAGAAAGATATGGACCTGACACGAATTATGAAATTTTTCTTCCAGTGACCTTGAACTTCTCCAAATGACCTTGGGTCAAGGTCATGAGAAACCCTTGGGTCATGGGCAATCTTTGTGTGGAATAAGAACCTACCAAGTTTATCCATAAGAAAGATATGGACCGGACAAATTATGAATTTTACTCCCAGTGACTTTGAACTTCCCCAAATGACCTTGGGTCAGGTCATGACACACCCTTAGGTCATGGGCAATCTTTATGTGAAATGAGAACCTACCAAACTTATCCATAAGAAAGATATAGACTGGATACAAATTATTAATTTTTCTTCCAGTGACCTTGAAGTTCCCCAAATGACCTTGGGTCAAGGTCATCACAAACTTTTAGGTCATGGGCAATCTTTGCTTGAAATGAGAACTTACCAAGTTTATCCATAAAAAAGATGTGGACCGGACACCAATTTTGAAATTTTTCTTCTAGTGACCTTGAAGTTCCCCAAATGACCTTGGGTCAAGGTCATGACACACCCTTAGGTCATGGGAAATCTTTGTGTGAAATGAGAACCTACCAAGTTTATCCATAAGAAAGATATGGACCAGACACGAATTATGAAATTTTTCTTCCAGTGACCTTGAAGTTCCCCAAACGACCTTGGGTCAAGGTCATGACACACCCTTACGTCATGGGCAATCTTTGTGTGGAGTAGTAGATTCTAATGTCCCTCCGTAAGAAAGATATGGACCGGACACGTTTGCACAGACAGATGGACAAGGTGATTCCTATATAACCCCCCCCCCCCAAACTTCGTTTGCGGGGGATATAAATAAATGTTTGTGGGGATGAAAATTTGTGAGTAAGGATGACCCATAAAATCCCCCCATGAACAATGATGATTCCATAGTAACTCAGGAACACCCTTCGAGAAGATTAATGTTTTATGTTACTGATTAAATTGTCCAAAGTCAAGGACAATATTAGCCTATATTGTACAGGGCTGTTACTTTTTGATACAGCTGTACTACATTAACCACTTAATCAAATCAAAAGATAGCTCTAAATAAAATGTTGCATTTCCAATCTTTTGAAGGTCAAAAATCAGGACAAAAGAGAGATTTGAAACAAGCAGCCACATGTTTGAAGTTTCAAGGTCAGAATGTGACAGTGACAACTTTTTTTATTTTCCCAACTTCAAGATCAGAGGTCAAGGCCATTATCAATTCTAATAACAATTTTTATTTAAAATACCATCTTCAGTTACTTACCGTTATGTGAGAAGATATTACAATAAGAATAAACAGAAGCAGTTGTATCACATAAAATATTTTATCATGATTTTAAAACTTGGAACAACATGGTAAGCTCTATAGGGTCAAACCTTGATATCCCTTACATATTTGAGGATTTGAGACAACACTCATCTAATAAAACATTCATAAATAAAGAATAAGTGGTTGGGGCTTTAAAAATCATATCAAAATATCCATGGTATTTGAAATATTAGTATTTAATTTGAGATATCAAAGATAAAGGTTTAATTGTTGCTTTGAAACTCTATATAAACCTAATATAGTAAATGTGAAAAGTACAGGGCTACTATGAACTAAAATCTACTTTACTGAATGATTTGATAACCAGTGTATGGTATATCAGTTAAATAATTATTGATTCTTTTAGATTTAGTCTTTTTTTCCCCAAGTTCTCAGGTCAAAAAACTGCAGATGGAAAGGTTCATTGCTCTCTTCAAACATGTAATTTGAATATAAGAAAAAAAAATCTATGACTTCAATCCTTTAAATTAGTTTGTTCTATATTTATCTTTTATACAATGACATGATGGCAGAGGAGGAAAATTACTTTCATAAGACAGAATAATGACAGCATGTGTTTTAGGCAAATTTCAGTCCTAGCTTGCTTTTCCATAACCACAATTACGATATCAATATAATTAGAAATATAAGCATCCGCAAAATCATGAATAAATTCAATATCGTAATCCTTATAGACATGACATGACTTCTGGTGGGAGGAAAATAAGAAAGCTGCTGCAGTAAGAAATAATTATATCCTGTCCTCCGCATACAGAAAATAAATCTCAGATTGTCACGACTATGTAAATCATATTTCTTTTTTTTTTTTTATTTTGAGGGTGCAGAGTAGTTGACTAGTTTACACTTAGTTTAATTTATCTCTTAAAAGGGCTTAATTAATTTCTTTAACAGTTTATCTCCAGCTGACTATAAAATATAATTATATACAAGTACTTGACTAAAAACACTGTATTGAATAATTATATATTCAAAACAACAGGCCCATGGGCCTTATAGGTCACCTGAGCATTATGCAACAACTTTCCAGTGATTCAATTTGATTAATGTTTTAAGCCAGATCTATGGCATTCACAATTTTGAAAGAGGCACCATTGATCATCATAACTACATGTATACACTTAGCAGTTGCTTAGTTTAGTTACTTAATACCCATAGGCAAGGTAGGGGAACAAAAAATGCATTTCAACTAATCAGTAATATTCAGCAATAATCAGTAGTGCCCCTACCATACATGAACCCCTGACCCTTAGGCCTAGATCCACAAATTGCACAATTTTTGAAAATGCATCCTTGCTTTTCAAAAATATTTGATTAATACCAAGAAGCAGATTTCAAACAATTCATTCATTTTAAGTATATAAGTACAGCCCCCCCCCCACCCAACCTCTATGGTACCCCTGACCCTGGGGCATTGAAATTCACAATTCGGGAAGATTCTGGCCCTCGCTCATCATAACTACATAGGTAGTTCATCTGCTTAATACCCAGGATCAGAAAAGAAAATTTTCAAAGATTTAATGTATTTTCATTATATAATCAATAGAGACCTGTCCTAAAACCAGAACCCCGACCCTGGGGCCATAAAATTCACAATTTTGGAAGAGGCATTCTTGCTCATTATAACTATGTACTTAGTTTATTTAATACCCAGGAGCAGAGAAGAAGATTTTCAAAGAATTCATGTATTTTCACGATATAATCAATAGAGCCCCGCCCTAATACCAGAACCCCTGACCCTGGGGCCATAAAATTCACAATTTTGGTAGAGGCACTCTTGCTCATCATAACTATGCACTAGTTAGTCTATTTAATACCCAGGAGCAGAGAAGAAGATTTTCAAAGAATTCATGTATTTTCACTATATAATCAATAGAGCCCCGCCCTAACACCAGAACCCCTGACCCTGGGGCCATAAAATTCACAATTTTGGTAGAGGCACTCTTGCTCATCATAACTATATACTTAGATAGTTTATTTAATACCTAGGAGCAGAGAAGAAGATTTTAAAACGATTCATGTATTTTCACTATATAATCAATAAAGCCCCGCCCTAACACCAGAACCCCTGACCCTGGTGCCATAAAATTCACAATTTTGGTAGAGGCATTCTTGCTCATCATAACTATGTACTTAGTTGGTTTATTTAATACCCAGGAGCACAGAAGAAGATTTTCAAAGAAATAATGCATTTTCACTATATACTTATTTAGCCCCGCCCTAGCACTAGAACCCCTGACCCCAGGGCCATGAATTTCACAATTTTGGTAGAGGACTCAATGCTGATTACAATCATGCAAACAGTTTGACTGCTTGATGTCCAGGAGTAAAGAAAAAGATTTTTACAGATTGCATTAATTTTAGAGGTTTTGGCCCCACCCCTCAGGCCCCAGGGGGGCAGGGATCATGAAATTCACAATTTTTGTTCCCCTTCACCCATAGATGCTTTGTGCCAAATTTGGTTGAAATTGGTTCAGTGGTTGCAGAGAAGAAGCTGAAAATGTTCAAATGTTAACGCATGACGCACAACGCACGACGACGGACGAAATTGGATAGCAATAGGTCACCTGAGTTTACTCAGGTGACCTAATAAAAAGTAAATAAAAAATTTAGTTTTCTACATTTTTTTAAAATTTGTTTTAACACATTAACTTTCAGTATTTAATTTCTCAAAATTTTCTATTTCTTAAAGTAAACTTTTAATCAGAAAGATTATCTATGACCTTAATATAGCAAAACTCGATTAGTACGAACACGGATATTGTGAATTCAGGGATATAGCAAAGGTTGGTTGGGTCCCCAACTACATAAATTTAACTAATTCCTAATACAGAGATAATGAATTATGGATAAAGCAAAGTAATTTCATGTGTCCCAGTGACTTTGTAATAACCAAGTTTTACTGTAATCTAATATGCCTGGTGATCAGTTACATTCCTTTCTGAAAAATGAGCATTGATTTCATATAATAGCTATAGGCACACTTAAATGCAGGAAGGTCAAATGATGTATTAAATTTAATTTTCAAATGTCCTTATTTTAACTTTAACCAAAAAAAAAAAAAAGAAATCATTGATTTTAGGATAGGCTTAAGATGAATAATATTCTGCTAAAAAACAAAGCACAAGGTAGCTACACTATAGCAATTGTTTGAAATTCTTTATTCGATTTTTTTGCATCTTTCATATTAAAATCTCTAGGAAAGGCTTTAGGACATTGCTGTTTTCAAAACTACAAAAAGCTAACATTTGATAAAAATTCTTTCAAAATGCTCACTGAAGAATTTTAATTCTGAAATATCAGTACATGTATGTGGCCTCCATATAGTTGCTTGTCATTGCTAGCTCTTTAGAAAAAAAAAAAATTCTCTTACATTTTTTGCAGTACAGAGCCAATCATCTTATGGTTGATTTTTTTATGTTGAAAATGTAGTTCCCAAACAATTACATTTTTCAAAGTAGCCCAGTATTTTTGGATTCTGGATGTGTCTTTTAGATGTGCTTTTAGATGTGCTTTTAGGTTTGGGAATTTTAATTTTCAACTTTTGAGTCAAAAACAGAATTTTTTTGGAATATAACTACAATGTAAAGAAGTAATTTATGATAGTACAGCTCTGCCTTATCATGACAGAACAAAATTAAAGTTGTTCAAAAAAAAAATTGTTGGATTATACTTTACAGAAGCTAGCTAGGTTGTCACTATCTGCATCTTGCTCTCAAGAAACACAGTGCAAATACTGTAAATGTATTACATTTGGCAGTGTATTCTTTTTAGCACTTTTGGCGAAAAGATACTTCCGCTAATTCAAGTACAACGCTAAATGTCTTCAACATACAGGTAAACTTCGTTATCTCGACATCGACGGGACAGTCAGAAAATGTCGAGATATCCGAGGTGTCGAGATATCAGAGTTAAGACTCGACGTCCTTAATTTAACTAATTAGACTGTACCTCGTTTATTTCAGCCACCCCTCTATATTTATTAGAAAATCTAAAATTTATTCATAAATATTATTTACAAACTGCTTTCCTTTTTATCGAAATTTCATTTTACTAAAAAACCGTTTTCCATCCAGGATTCGTTCCGAGTGCCACTAGCTCTGTCAGAGCAGGATACAAAATCCGCTCTGTTAACTCGAAACCGGAACGGTACAATGTCGACTTCCGAGATACGGAAAAAATCAATGCGTAAATTTTTTAGATTATTTCATTTCACTTTTTTTTAATTTCATAATCATTCATCATTTATTTTCCTTTCATTTTGAAACCAAATTTAATTCGAATTGCGCAAATAACAAGTTTTATGATGTTATGCATCCATATAGGCTGATGCAATAGTCGTGCATGTCATAGATTTGATTGATTCCTGTTGAATGCATTTTTACCACAATTTCTAATTTAATTTAAATTCAATGTGTATATTGTTCATTATGATTCAGTAACATGTTCTTTTATAACATGTTTTAAGTTTTGTCAGATCTCGACTTAAATGAAATGCGGTTTTACATTTACATGGGACCAATATACTAGTATATAGGTCCCTGCATTTATGCAGAATAGAGAAGATTTATCAATGAAATTACCCAAGCTGAACATTAAACAATTAACGTATTAAAGACGCCGAGGGGGCTTGGGATTCCTCTACAAACACACAGAGCAGTATGTAGTCAAAACATGGGTGTGGAAGGTGTGAATTTCTGACGACGTCGAGATACACGGAGTCGTCCGTGCGTGACAAGCGACCAGCTGACAAACAATAAGGTTAAGTAGAGCAGAAAATTGCCCCGATGTCGACATATACCAGGTAAATTTTGCTCTTGGGACTGTGAAATACGTCGAGATAAGCGGGGTAGTCGACATTACCGAGGTCGACATATCAGAGTTTTTGCAAATCATTTATATAGTAAATAATGCCGGGACCGCGGAGGGATGTCGACATATCCCAGGTTGTCGACATATCCGATGTCGAGATACCGAAGTTTACCTGTATATTCATTGATGAGAACATTAAGAAATGCGCTAAATCAAATCTACGCTAACTTGTTCAAAAATCAATTTCTGCCAAATATTGTACATGCTAAATATAAAACATTTACAGTATTACATACCCGTCCTATGTCACCCCTTAAGTCTTATACAATTCTTCCAAATCCATTACCTTGAAATTTAAAAAAAAAATTGAATTTTCTGTGGTAATTTGGATTTGGGTTTGATGCTTACTTTGTCTTTGCGGAGAAGGAAAAGAATGTCTTCAAGTCCAATAAAACGTCCATTTCTTAATGAGGCCACATCTGCTGCTTGAAGAAGCTGCAATTAAGATAAATCATAATTATATAAAAAAAACTTTAAGACTTCTTATAATATCATAAGAAAAAGATTATAATTCCTGACAGAGATTTTTTCCTCTGTATTTTAAACACCAGTAATCCCCTTTGAAACATAATTTTACAGTCAAACATGTATGAAGCAGTAACCTGTAGGAATCATTAACAAGAGGCCCATGGGCCTTATAGGTCACCTGAGTATCATGTAACAACTTTCCAACAATTAGAATTGCCTCTTGTTTTAACCAAAGGCCCTGAAATTCACAATTTTGAAAGAGGCACAATTGCTTATCATAACTACACACTTAGCTTGCTTACTTTGGTAACTTTATACCCAGAGGTAGATCAGAGTAACAAAGAGAAAATGCATTTCCACTTTATAACCAGTTGTGCACCCCACCCCACAGGAACCACTGACCCTGGGGCCACACATTTCAAAATTTTGGAAATTTTTTCATGAACTTTATTTCATGATCAATGGTTGATTTCTACTGAAGAGCAGATTTCAAAGCATTATTTTTTTCAGACTATGAAGCCCCCCCCCCCCCACCAAGTACCCCTGACCAAGGGGTCCTGAAATTAACCATTTTGAAAGAGGCACATTTCATCATCATTAATTGGCATAGCATAATACCCAGGAGCAAAGGAAAAGATTTTCAAAGATTTCCTTCATTTTCACTTTATAATCATTAGAACCCTGCCCTAACACCAAAACCCCTGACCCAGGGGCCCGCTGAGGAGAAGATTTTTAAAGAATTCATGTAATTTCACTATATAATCAATAGAGCCCCCTTTTATTTTATGACTTTAAATAGGATTGCTGATATTCTTGCTTCATCAACTTGTTTGTCAATAACTTATTTCATTTTAGAGATTGTTCATATGTAGAACATGCTCCTCTGTAACGAATCAACTGAGAGATGCATGTAAACTCTGTATGCAGGTGACAAAGGTATGTTGTTGCATAAGTAGGGGAAGTTGACGATTGAAAAGTTAGTCATCACATTTCTCATAAAGCTTTGTTGTTAGATAACAATAATTACCATCTTTTTCAAGTGAAATATCAAATATGAAACAGATGGGTCAGACTCTTTGATATCTTTTATTTCAACTCACTGGGATATATTGTGTCGACATAAGAATGGAAATAATTATTGTTAATTGACAATAGGTCAATGATATATGTAAATATTAAAGGTACTTGGACACAGATTTGAAGTTATTATTTTCTCTATAATATTACGACTTATATATTTTAATAGCATTTCACACAAAAATTAATTAAAAATCTTATTTCGTTTAAAAGATACTGAAATTTCAAATTTTTTGATTGACATATCCTTGCACTCTCACAAATTTTATTTTATTCTTAATCCTTAGGAAAAGTGGCAATCTCGTTTTGTATAAATGAAAAATATTAATACTATAATCCAGAAAATTCAGAGTAGACATGTTCGAAAGCAAAACAAACACACAATATATTGTCAGTCCGTGCAGTTGTGGTAAGCAGACTGTGACGATTGAACGCACCCGGTGAATTCTAAATATAAACAATAACAGAACTCGAGCCCTGTTTACAAAAACTGTGTACATAACACGAGCGTGCTCGATTTGCTAAACTCTGTACGCATCTCTTAGTTCGGAATGCCGATACTTGTGAAGGTGTTTTGCTTTCGAACATTTCTACTCTGAATAAAATTATTTTTCTTGATAAAACTTTTAATATTTCTCATTAAAACACATCAAAATTGCCACTTTTCCTAAGGATTAAGAACAAAGTTAAAATTTGTGAAAGTGCAAGGATGTGTCAATCAAATCCGCCAAAAAATTTAAAGTTTTAATAACTTTTAAATGAAATAAGATTTTTAATTAATTTTTGTGTGAAATGCAATTAAAATATATAATTCGTGATATTTTACAGAAAAAATGAGAAAATATTAACTTCAAATCTGTGTCCAAGTACCTTTAAGTTGAAAGTCACAGCAAGTGTTTTCTTCTTTTCATGCAAAAGATTTTGATTTAATTCTGCTTCATGTGAATACAAAAATAGGTCTGCTAATAACAGGATGCAATTAATACCCATGGGAATTTCAATATATTGTTGGAAGACCTGGTCCCAAAATACCACATAGATACTGTCAATCAGAAATACGAGCATCCTTTTAGGACAATTTCCACCTTAGTTTGGATTTTCAGTAAGGCGTGGCATTCTCGACATTACATAATTAGCTTCTGAAATTTATACAGCTTTCCTTCACTGTTGAAATATACATGGGATAGAAATTCAGGCAAATGCCGATTAGTGTATCGAATAACCAATAACATTGTTTCCTCCTGCAAAGAGGTGGAGCTTAAGTCATCTCATTGTTCTGAACAACAATTTAAATTCCTGATGTTATTAATATCTTAACCAATGAAGTGATCAATGGATTGGCTATTCATAAACGCCGAAGGCGTTTATGCATAAAATTATCACACAAGCCAATTTGATCATCTTCATGAATTCGAAAAATCTAAAGCCTGCTTCTCTCTAGGTGTTGTCCCGCCTTGCACGTGGTTTTTTTGAAACCGCGCCAAAACATTCATGAGGAAATCAATTACATTTACAATTGGTAATTTTATCTCGGACAAAGACATTGGAAATGTAAATATTTCTTAACCAATGAGAATCTATTCGCCATTTGACAGATGCTAATTAAATAGCGCCAAGAATGCCACGCCTTACTTAAAGTCCAAACTAAGGTGGAAATCTTCCTAATATCATCTTCAGTGTACTTGATACAGTACTCAACCCTTTTAAAGCAAAAAGTGCAATAATACAAATTGATATCAAATTCAAAGGTGTTTTTTGGTGAAAAAACTTTATAGTGAATAAGCAAGCAAGATAAGGATTTTCATGTAGAATAGAAGTTCCATATATTTGAATTATAAAATGCACTTTTTTTAATCATCATTTACAGTTATCAGGGTTAGTCATGAGCATGCGAACCAGTTAACACTTTTCCATGTGCAAGAAATATCCACAAGTATGGCAAGAATTCACTCAAGCCAAGAAAGCTGACTCCTTAATAATAATTGATTAAACTGGTTATCCATTGATAACTTATGAACAGTTCTGAAATGTTATATACTAGTTGGTACTGTAGATTCCTTATTTTTTGCGAGTACTTTTTATCGCAAATGGGCTTTTCAACAGCAAATCGCGAGAATAAGAATTCGCAAATGGACGGGTAATTTGCGAGTAATTGAATTTTGCTTGTGGTGCTTCTCGCAAAATTATGCAATAATTAATTCCACGCTTATATTTAGGAATTTACAGTATACAATATGACTTACCACAGATGTTAGCTGTTGTTTGACAATGTCCTCAATCAAAACTGCTGAGTCATGCTGAGGCTTTGGGACATCTCCAAACCCATACCTGATCAAATAAATGTTCATTATCAACAGCAATCAAAAGCAAAGGGCACGTACCACAAAGTGAAATATCCCCTTGCAAAGAGCATATCTATTAATCAGTCTTGGCGGCATTTGACATCAATCCCGATGCAAATTATGTCACTTTATCCATTTTGCACATGACAAACTTAAAGACACCCATAAACTGACACACCTTATAACAAGTTACTACAAGGGTTGTCCGGTAAAATCATGGACAAAGCATTTTTCTCTAATTATAATGGGTGCACTAAGCTGAAATTTTCAGAAAATGTTTATTTATCATATTTAAGTGAATCATAATTTTTCTGATAGAATACAGACATTAAAAATAAAGAGTTTATTGTGCTTGAATCTGCACAGGGTATGGTCCTACAATGCACAGTCAAAAAACGAAGGTTTTATAAGAGAATTCGAGAATATTGATTCGAAATTAAAGATTTAAATAGAAAAGATTGGGTTAAAAATTATCCTTATTCGATTCCACAATTAATTCTGTCGTCTTTTTAAAAATTTCAAAGCATTTGGTTAATTTTTGACAGTTTCCTGAGCATTCGAAATGGGAAAGTGTTAAACACAACACACGAAAAATGGTGACATTTGATGACGTTATGGTGCATCGGAGAGCTGACTTCAGTTTGATTTAGATGGTGTAATAAGACCTTAAGAGACTTAAAATTAATACGGCAGTAAAAAATAAATAATCAAATCAACAGATCTTTAGTATAGAATTGAAATGGGAGTTTTCTTAGTGAAGTCTTTCTTGATCGAGTCCCCAGGTAGTACAAAACATACGGACAAACTGCTATAATAATTGTAATAGCAAAAGATGCTGACACTGTTGACAGTCAATATATATAAGATTTTCTATAAGTTGAATGATGGTGGGATTATTGTTCGTAACTTACTAATAAATCATCAGAAGATTGCAAGTTTGTGCCAGATTGGTTCCTCAACTGTTTATTGAAACTAAATTAGGTACATCAATGAAATTCCTAAATTTAAGTGGGACTAATCCAAGTTTATTTTTATCGCAAAAATGAAACGTAACACTCTTTTACACACTTTGAAGTTATCATCCGTGTGCTGTAAGGCGATCGATACAATACACAATATAAAATTTCATAATTTGTTTATTTATGCATATATATCTATTTGAAATTTGCTATGTTTATTCAGAAAATATGCGCTAAATAGTTTTAAAATTTCAGAACTTGGTGATGATTATTTTTCATGCTAGACAACTTGTGCACCATTTTACTGGACAACCCTCGTATATCCCCATTGCAGGGATATAATAATAAGAGACAGAAAAGGACAAGTAAAACCAGAGGCCCATGGATCAGATTTCTTTTTCCCTTTTTGAAGAAATGGGCATGCCATTATAAAGTCTAAAGAAAGCTCAAATTGTTCCATTCACACAGAAAATTTTACCACTTAAATGTACTTCGTAGTATATTCTGTTAAGTAAATAGAATTAAACTCTCCATATAAACAGGGCCTAATAGACGCAAATATTTGAGAATCTTCATAAGAAACATTGCAAACACCGTATATCCCTATTAACCGCCCCGGGCGCTTAGAAAATTGCAAAGAGGGGGCGGTTATTTTGTAATTTTCTTCATCATATTTAATGTCATTTTTTAACTTCAAAAATTTAAAGAACCACTAAAACAATGTCTAACTTTACTTTAAGTGAAGATAATCCACCCAAATTATGCTGTATGATTCAATTTCCACCGAAAAATTGGATAATAGGCAAGTTACATTATCATTTTTTCGAAATTTTGGCAGACTTTTGATACGATTCTAGATGATTTTATTCACTGTACAGGGGGCCCTTATTTTCTGATAATTGGAAGAAGACCTAGGGGGCGCTTATAGGGGCTGGGGCAGTTAATAGGGATTATACGGTAATGACATTTTGTTATGATTCTAATTAATAAAATACAGGTCAGGAATGAATGTTATGCATGCCACAAAAAATAAATGAGTTATAAAATGAAATGCTTTAAAATTTTAACCTTGAGATTTTTCAAAAATAATTGTTCAGAATTAATTTAAGAAATTTGGACATAAATAGGACATTCCCATTTTCTCAGAATTTTTTTTAATGTCATTTTACCTTTTAAGATTAAAAATATTTGTTATTTTGGCCTAAATTAAATTAAACCTGATACATGTGTACTTTCATCCGACTTGTTTATTGATAATTCTTAAGAGCCTTGGTAAACTATCTAGAACCTACCTGCTAGAGAATCAAAAACTTTAAATCTTAAATATTCTCCATGCAAAGGAAATATATTTAATTGAGGATATATGACTACTTTTGATTTCAACTTCAAAGTGTCTAAACTAATCTGTACATAATGAAATTAAAATTTTGTGCTTTTGACTTATAATGAATTGAGGTAATATGTGTACCATGTTCAAACTCTAGCTCACAGTCACTCACAGGTTAAGGCCTTATACATTTACATCAC